TGCCGTCAAGAAATCGGACCACGTATTGCATTGGGCAAATTTGTTGCAAAAGACCTCTTCAAAATGTTAAAAAGAAAAGATGTCTCTTGTAGGACTAAGGTGTGCCTGACCCAAGCCACAGTATTCTCAATAGCCTCATATGCATCTGAAAACTGGGCGATGATAAGGAAGACCAAAGAGGAATTAATGCCTTTGTGGTACGGTGTTGATAAAGAATACTGACTGTGCTAGGGTCTGCCAGAAGAACGAACAAACCTTACTCCGATGAAGTGTAGCCAGAATGCTCCTTTGAAGGGAGAGTGTCCACACTTCCTCTCACCTACTTTGGATGTGTTGTCAGCAGGGACCAGTCCTGAAGAAGGAGACCATGCTTGGTAAAGTAGAGGGTTACAGAAAAGGGGGAAAGCCCCCCAGGAGGTGAACGGATACAGTGGCTGCAACAATGAGCTCAAACGTAGCAGTGGTTGCGAGGGTGGCCTGGGACTGAGCCGGGTTTCATTCTGCTGTACACGGGGTCGTTACGAGTCGGAACGGACTCCATGGCTCCTGACAGCAGTAACAGACTAGACTACAGGAACAGCGTGAGATGCTGAAAGAAAGAGTGAGTATCTCAAAAAAATAAAATAAACCAAACTCACTGCCATTGAGTTGATTCTGACTCACAGCAATCCCCAGTGGGTTTTTGAGGCTGTAAATCTTTACGGAAGTAGAATGCCCCACCTTCCTTCCAAGGAGCAGCTGGTGGGTTTGAACTGCTGACCTGTTGGTTAGCAGCCAAATGCTTATCGACTATGCCACCAGAGCTCCTCGAGTAAGTATCTAGATGCTGATTTCTGTCATCCAGTCGGTCGTTAAACCCTGGGCCAGCTCCTATTTCCATTTGTAACTGCCCGGTGGCTATTTTCTATGACAATTTCTGAGGTCGGGAATTCAGCCAGTTCCTCATGGAAGAGTAATGTTAAAATTTTTACTGTATTTTTCATAATGACACCCACACAGATAATTTACACACAAATAGTGTGCACAGCACATGTAGAAATTAAAGTGTAAGGAGGATGTGTGGTTTGCAAAAAGTTTATAACCTTGCACATTCATTTTTGAAAAAATGTAAATATTCCGGTTTTTTTTTTTTTTTTTTTGGAAATTTAAAAGGGTTAGCAAGTTCCTGGGAGGAGCTCTGAGAAAAGCCTTGGCAGTCTGCTTTGGGAAGGTCGCAGACATCGGGAAGCCTGGGGGGCGGGGCGCCTGCTCTGCCGTGATCGGGGGGGTCGCCCTGAGTCTGAACCCTGGGACTGGTTTGCTTTTGTTTTGATCATAAACCCAAAAAACCAAACCCACTGCCGTGGAGTCCATTCCGACCCACAGCGCCCCTAGAGGACAGAGTGAACTGCACCACAGGGTCTCCAAGGCTGTCAATCTTCACAGAAGCAAAGCCCAAACCACACCCACTGCTGTGGAGTCCATTCTGACTCACAGCGCCCCTAGAGGACAGAGAGGATCCCACACCCACTGCTGTGGAGTCCATTCTGACCCACAGCGCCCCTAGAGGACAGAGTGGAACTGCACCACAGGGTCTCCAAGGCTGTCAATCTTCACAGAAGCAGACTGCTGTATCTTTCTCCCACGGAGTGGCTGGTGGATTCAAACGCCGACCAGCATGTTAGCAGCCCAGCACTTTAACAACTGCACCTCCAGGGCTCCCTTGTGTTGATCATACATATTCCCATAGTGGGACCCATAGGTCCCAGCCCCGCTCCCTAAACCAATCACATGGCCTCATTTACACGCTTTAGAAAGCTCCCCCGTAATTATCCATTATGTAAAATGGCAGATGCCATAGTCTGTGCTATTTCTTTTTTTCAGAATCAGATCCACTCACCAGCTTTTCCACAACCTGGAAGTGCCTTAGCAGCCAGCTCCCTGACAAGGCAATAGTTCACTTCCAACTCCCATTGAGCAAGTGGACGTTAAGGATCCCACCTGTGCACGTCGAGCAAAATGGGGCCCCTGCCCCAGGAGGTACCCCACGGCTGTGTGAACCGATCTCATGGACAAAGCACCGCCTTCGCAATGATCTCACCTAGGTTTATGGAGGGAAATCCGTGTCCCTTATTGTCACCTAGGAAACAGGATAGGAGAGAAGGAGTCACCACGATCGTCACAACCACTGACAGCAACAACAGAAGCTGCTAAAATATTTTTTTATCAATTTTTAAGTTTTCGTTACACTATAATAGATGACCAATGCAATGCCTCTCACACTTATTCTCCATCTTTAACAATCTCTTTCTTAGGCTAGTATCTTGTGCTTGCTTTTTTCTGTCTTCTAAATGAGAGTGCAAGCTTCTCTTGGCCAGAGGCTGCTCTGTCTGAATCACCACTGTATGCCCAGGACATAGCGCGGTGTCTGGGCCTGAAGGGAGAACGGACAGCTTTCTCAGGACAGATCCTTGTCACTCATTTTCTTCTGCAGAAGGAGCATCCATTGTTCCACTTTTCAACAGCTGAGGAGTAGAACAATATGGTGCATATACCGGATAAATCTGTGTATGGAAGGCTGACTGAACGATGAACCACTGACTACCGACACCAGAGCTTGGTTCTGAAGTAAATGGGAAGCTGGATTGTTGGTTTCGCCGACAGAACCAAACGTTGCCTGGTGCAGCACCACCCTCACAACCGCTGGCAGGTTTGAGTCCGTTGTTGCAGGCACGATGTCGATCCATGTCGCTGAAGGCCTCCCTCTTTTCCACTGACCCAACATGAGACAGAGGGGAAGAAATGAGGGGAGAGCAGAAGGTCCCCCAGAGAACATCACCAGAAAGTGGAAACGTGCCGCCCGTCTTTTAGGGTTAGTGTGGGTGTGGTGACCCTTAAGACTGCAGTCAGAACTTCGGGGGAAGTCATCTGAAACCCTTATTGGGGTGCTCGTCACATTGCTAGAGCGTTAGTAGCAGGCAGGAGGATCACAGAGAAGCTAGGCATGAAGTCCTACTAAGTGCTCATTGTGCTCTGTGCCCCGAGTCCAGGCTAAGCTGCTGACCTCGCCATGTGACTACTTCTGCACCACACCAATGATTGTGGGTGTCTCCAGAGATGTTCCATGACACAGCCAATGCAACACACTGGGAGCAACCACAGAGTTGAAAGATATTGTTGAGTGATTAATGAGTGAGCTTGAGAGGATGGATGGATGGATGGTGGATGGCCGGGTGGGTGGATGGGTGAATGGACAGATGGATGGATGGGTGGAGGGGTAGAAGGGTGCGTGGATGGATGGATGATGGGTAAGTTGGTGGGTGGATGGATGTTGTCGTTGTTGTTATGTGCCGTTGAGTCAGACCTGACTCATAGCGACCCCTCCTTGGGTCACTGAGGCGGTATCACTATGGAACTAGATTGCCCAACCTTCCTTTGGAGGAGTGGCTGGGTGGATGGATAGATGGATAGATTGCGGAAGGCTGGATAGATGGATGAATAGATGGTGGCTGGATGAGTGGGTGGTTGGGTGGATGAATGGATGGATGGATGGATAAGTGGGTGGGTGGGTAGATAGATGAGTAGATGGTGGCTGGATAAGTGGGTGGGTTGGTGGGTGGATGAATGAATGGGTGGATGGATGGATGGAGGGGTGGAAGGGTGGATGGATGATGGATGGGTGGATGGATAAGTGGGTGGGTGGATGGATAGATGAGTAGATGGTGGCTGGATAAGTGAGTGGGTTGATGGGTGGATGAATGGATGGGTGGAGGATGGAAGGGTGGATGGATGGATGGGTGGTTGGAGGGGTAGAAGGACAGATGGATGATGGATGGGTGGATGGATGATGGATAGTGGCTGGATGAGTGGGTGGGTGAGTTGGTGGATGAATGGATGGGTGGAAGGTGGAAGGATGGATGGATGGATGGGTGGTTGGAGGGGTAGAAGGATGGATAAATGAAGGATGGGTGGATGGATGAAGGATAAGTGGGTGGTTGGGTGGATGGGTAGATGGATGGATGATGGATGATGGATAAGTGGGTGGCTGGATGAGTGGGTGGGTGTGTGGATGGATGGATGGGTGGAGGGTGGAAAGATGGATGGATGGGTGGTTTTGGGGGTAGAAGGATGGATGGATGATGGGTGGGTGAGTGAATGCATGGGTAGATGGGTGGATGAGCAGGTGGATGAGTGGATGGATGGACGGATGGATAGAAGATTATTCCTTATCCCCCTTTCTCTGCTCTCAGGTCACTTTTGTAACTGTCTTCCCGCGTGCACCTTCCTCTCTTGTTTCCTTTTCCATCTACCGCACCAGGCCCTCACCGACGACTCGCCTTGTGAGCTCTCTCAGCCCCACCTTCCCCGCATCCTTTAAAGAGCGCCAGCCCCTCTTCCTGACTCCACTCTGCCATAAGCATGAAGTGCAATTGCATTTATGTTTGGGCATCAGTCAAGAAGAGGCCTAACTTTGTGACATCAGGCAGGCCACTTGATCTCTCTAAGCCTCAGCTTTCTCACCTGCAAGACGGGCTTAGGAACATAACCCTCCTCACAGAAAGCAGGGACTGAAACAGTTAATGAGGATGTTGTGGACTGAATTGTACCCCTCCCTCCCCCCCCCAAAAAAAAAACATGTGTTGGACTCCCAACCCCTGCATATGTGGAGGTCATCCCATGTGGGAACAGGGTTTTCCTGTTACGTTATGTTCCCTGTTATGTTATGTTCCCTTTTATGTTATGTTCCCTTATGTTAACGAGATCACATCAGTGTAAGGTTTGTCTTGAACGCACTGACTTTTGAGACATTAAAAAATCAGATCAAACAAGGAGAGAAGGAAAGAAGGGTGCCATGGGGAGATCGCCAAGGAGAATGCCAGGGAAGCCAAGAGAGGAATTTACCCCGGGGCTGATGGAGAGAGCCTTCTTTCCCTGGGCCCAGTCCTCTGAATTCAGGCCTCTAGCCTCCAAACTGTAAGAAAATAAATTTCTGTTCCTTAAGACTATCCACTTGTGGTCTGTTAGCCGTACTGAGAAACTAAGACAAGGCCAATGGCTTCTCACAGAGACTGGAACACAGGGGCTGCTCTAAGTGTTGGACATTATGGTAAAGTTTCCTACCTTCATACGTGGTCGCCCAGATTTTCACTCTGTTGCTGGGGAAGGAGCCCAAGTATGGGAAATTCCTCTGGTAATAGACGCAGCTGTAGTTGCCCGAGGTATTGCCTAACATCGTCCAGAGCATGAAATCAGTCAGGTTTTCTCTTACGTCATGGACTTGTAGTGGCTCTTGCTGTCCTGATTTCAGCAAGGCCACAGCCATGCACTCGGTTCCGTTGTATGGAATCAGACATTGAAGAACCACCCAGACACCTGGGATCTCACGGCCTCTGGAGAGAGATGGTCTTGGGAGGGACCCTGCATGGGACAAGGCAATGAGCGGCAAGGGGT